TATGGAGTCTTTATACTAAATGCGTTACACAATATTCGACAAAACAATATAATATAATATGTTATTATAGTAATAATTACTATATTTAACACATCTAATACATCCATAAATCATCCATAATATGATAATGCAATTAATAAGCTTGTCCGCCTGTCACAATCATTGTGCGGTATTTAATTATGTAAACCACGAAGTATATGATATTTTGAAACTCGTAACCCCTGCGGTGCACCTAGCTAAGACGGAATCACAAATTTTGATAAGAAATTAAAATTTCATTTTTCATAGAGCTATAAAGTGTGGAACTACAGTACTTAAACATATACTGTATACTCTTTTATGGCTGGTATATAAATGTATGATTTTGAATTAAAGTAGAAGAATTTGAATTTAAAACATTATTATTTTATAAAGGCATTTTCGGTGCCAATGTCATTTTTCAAAGCAAATGATAATATTGGAAATTAAACGAGTCTATACAAGATTTGAAATATTTATTTTTTCACACTCCACATAATATTTGGATTCATGATTGTTTTTAATCATAACAAAATTCGATAATATTAATAACTTATTATAAAATATTTTGATTTTCAATTTAATATTTCTAATGACCACGTAGTAAAATATTTAAATTATAAAATAACACACGAGGTATTGTATTTGAATCCATTGTGTATCATATTATATACAAAGTGTATACCTTAAATCGTAATTATAAATATTAATAATTGGTAACGATATTTTTGTCGACTTAAACTATTTTCGCTTATTTGCCTTGTTATCGACTATTTCCGTCAGATTTGCCTGTTAACTATTCGGATTTGGTGAATCGATGGGTTTACCATTCATTTATGTTCCTGTGAAGTATTTTAAATTACTCCTTGGCTCTTGTACGTGCACACCAGTGGCGCAGCTGATGAGTGGCAATGGGTAGATGCCTCTTCCCTTAGAATTTTGTGTTGGTGATGCTTTAACCATGGTTATAACTAATAGTCTATACAAGTAATACAATAATATAGTATTTAAATCCCCCCCTCTCATCTTGATTTTGCTTCAGCTACACTACTGGTTTAAACGCAGTTGAATACGTATGTCGATCATATTATATAGGTACAAAAACACTGCGCATTGTACGGATGGAACTATTCTACCAAATAGAAAACGATATGAACAGAGGAAATATATAATTTAGGCAAAGTGGTTGCTGTAGACAAAGCCAAACAAGAAATAAACGCAGATGAGCTATAGTTGTAATTATTAAACTATCTTCATACAAGCATATTATAAATTTATACACTACACTATACAGCGTTATACACGTCGTAGTACCTATAGATTTTGACAAATCGACTTTCCGTTAAAACGCCTTCGAACCGATCCGTTTATGATGGAGTTATTATATTTTAAGTGCGTTTATAATATTATGTATCATATAGTAGTAGTATGCACTGACTATAATAATGGCCTATAAGGCATTGCCATCGTTATTCGTCAAACATCGGAATCGTATGAGAAAAAAGGATTATTTCTCCAAGGCGCCCCCTCCTCCCACAACCAAACCGGAACTTAAAATGCGCCGGTCTGCCACCATTACTATCTTCGTTAGAGAGAAGAGAAAAATAGTTCATAATAAAACGATTCATTTTTCAGAATACAAAAATACAATTATGCATATAATATACGAAAATATCAAATACATACTATACAGTGCATTGTCAAATTATTGTTTCTATCGACTATGATATTATAATAATATAAGCAACGGAAATTCCATTAAAACGACAAATGTTCCCTAATGATGTTTCGCAATTGCTACATATACATTATGTAAATGTACTTTTTAGTTCATTAGCGTTATTATAATATAAAACTATACACCTAATATACGTATTTTATAATAAATGTAATGGTATACGACGTTGATAGTTTTCATTACAAATATGCGTCATACAATGACATCCATGATCTGAAGTTTACAGGAAAATGTATATACACATCACACACACAAACACACACACACACACACACACACACATACATACATCATTTGTTTTGAATAATTAACATACAAATTCAAATATTTTTTATTTAGTTTTTACTTTTCATAACGCGTTTGTCTTACTTATTTTTTTCTTGTCCCGGAGACATAAACCCAAAATTATTTGTTAATACATTTGTAATTCTGCGGTGGTAGTAAATAAAACAACATTTTAATCGTACCAACTGTACACCGCCGTGAAGCGATTAGGGTGGCTGCAATGGTAAAATTATTTATCAAAGTCCCATTAAAATGTTTAAAACCAACGACACATTATTATTAAAGTTAATTTTCCGTCGGTTCCGTTGATAATTTCTTTATTTGTTATAATTCCTGCGGTCCTGCCATTTGCCAAGTATCGGTCTAAATGTGCTGCATGACTCGGTTGGATCGTTTATAGCTGCAGTGCACTGTGTTATATTAATCAAGACAATACTGAATATTGGCAGTGGTTTTTGCGTTATATTCTTATATCAATAATACTATATTCTATGTAATCTAACAAAGATAATACAGTAAAAAAATGTGTACTGAGAAACTATAATAAATAATACAATATGGACTAAATGTTTAAGTAGGCACTATAAAGCAAAATTAACATTAAATGTTCAAAACAGATTTTATATTCAGAAACGAGTCATTGTCGTGACATAAAAATTCGGTTGGTTCCAAAAGTATTACAATAATAGTTTTTATTTAATTTTTAGAAATCTAATATTATTATTTTTATTGCTCATTCAACATAATAATAATATATAAAATGTATATACATTTTTAATGACATAATTTACTATGGCGTACGGTTTTGTTTGATTTTCAAAGCCGAGTCCCGAATTTATTCAAAACTGTTTTATAGACTCGTCGTTTATAGTTAGTAAATTTTCGTATTGCATATTAAAACATCTATTCACAATGAAACACGTTTCGAGAAATCGATATTTCATTGCGTGTTGCTTTTTTTTATTTGGCTATAAAAGTGTAATCATTTTTATTTTGTATAATATAATATAATATAAATATAATATAATACACTATTATTTAGCGCCTCCGCCGCGGCCGACGTGTTTATAATGACACCGTCGCAGTGTGTCTTAACATTGAATCGTCCGTATTTTGTTCCTTTTTTCTTCCTATTATTGGGTTTATGGTAAACATAATAATTCAGAGAGTATAAAAAACCATACTGACATTTAAAAGGTGAAGTAGTATATCATTTAATATTTATTATTTACATGTTTACTGTATAGAACATCTGTTCCGTATATATAGCTTATAACTGACAAAATTACAAAATAATTATTATCGAAAAGCTGATTTTCCGTACTAAAAACGTATAAACTGGTAAGTCTCAGGTTTTACATCTATAGTGTAGTTAAGTGCTCATTACCGTATGTAAATGGTGTGAGTTTGGCACTATGGTCTCCATCGATTAATATGCTAAATATTTGAGCAGTATAAACTATAAATAGATACACCGATTTTATTGAATCACGTTATTTATTAGCGTTTAAAGGTTTAAACGATTCTATATGTTGACATTGCCAGTATCATCCATATGGTTACTAAATGGTTGATTTTTTTGTAACTATAACAATTTGATAAGAAATAAACAAAATTGTATTTTTTCAATCGACAGAGCAAAACAATATCTTCTGATAATCCACCATGATTTTTATTGATATACGTACATAATGTTTCACGGAATTTGATCGTTTGTTAAATAAAATAATTAAACATTTCGGGCCTAAATATTTTTAATTGCTTTTATACTTTGGTGGTAATTGTATTGATGTACGCAATTATAATTACCGATTCTATAAAAAAGGTATAGCTTGAAAAGATTTAAAAATGACAGCATTCGTTATTAAAATATACTTCAATATAAGTGCTTATAATAATTCATAATTACATATAATATTATGTGCAGCCTACCATTTGTATACGCATACACAAAACCTTCGAAATTACATAACTAGTGGTCAATGCTATTGTGTCTTTCACGGTTATCATTTTTTTAAGAACGAAACTATAGAAACTGCATATTGTACTTTAAGCTCCACCTGCTGAGTTTTGTCGATAAAAATATTTAAAAATGTTCTGCTGATCGTTATATTAGAGTACCTACACACAAATTCACCGACTTGTAAGTTGTAACTATAATAAAGAATTTGTTTGTATAGGGCATTGTTGAATTGTAGAACAATTTGTCCGCAAACGGGTAATCGTTAAACGAACAATGTTAGACGAACTGTCTATTGATTCAGTTTTGGCAATCAACGGTTTTGGCGCAGTTGTAAAATGTATACATATTATAAATTTATATATAAATATATGGGTAATATTAAATAGGTATAATATATTTTTTGTTGCGGTTACTAAGTTACTTGTTTCTTGTAGTTCTAGACGAACAGAAAAGAAACATTTTGCACTTAAAATATTTACTTGCATTCAATATATATTTTCTATGTTGCGATTCGTCTGGTTATAGGTAGAGGTACATATTAATATAATATATTACTATATTAGCTTACATTAGGATCGACTGAAATCAAATTTAAAACTTCCACGATTCGACGGTCGATAACCTGGACATTCTTACACAATAAAGGCATAGCTCGAGTATAATATACTTATTATAGGAAATACCGTGCCTCACCACCACATGCGTGACGGAGAATACGCGACGGTTATCCGAGTGCATATCTACATACTATTGGACGGCAGAAGATTCACTTAATAATACCTATAGAATAATGTATGGTTTTCCACTGACTTTACTTAAAAAAAAATTAATGCCTAAACCGTTTTTTGCTGTTATAGCCTATATTGTACGAATATACGACTAAAATCCAAATAATCCAATATAATATGAAGGTACCACATTTGGAAATTCACAATAATTACCAACCAGTTATGTTTTAAAAGTAATAAATATAAGCTTATTTTCTTTGGCGCTTACCTTGTTCTTGCATAAAACTGAACAGCGAGTCTAGAAAGGTCCGTCTGTCGGATTCATTGCCCGCCGAGTACAACTGAAAAACAAATAAAAAATTAGCTCCAATGTAATATTAACTTATGTTATATATATTACTTTTAGTTCCACACACAGCTTACACCGTAATTACAAACCTTTATATGGACAAATATTTTATAAGTTTATAATAGATTTTTCCTTATTTGATTTTATAATAATAAGACGAATAAAGTTGAGTTATATTTGGTTTTAATATAGAAGATAAACATCAGGTTCTGCTACCTGTGCAACATAATATTATCTAATATGTATGTATAATAAATTATAATATTGAAAATGTATTTATTTTACTCGACCGTTAATTATTGTTTAACGTTTTTAGTTAAGTACTATTATAATATATTTTTAATTTATATTATAATTTCTGAATTTACATAGATTATAAAATAACGACCAATAATAATTGTTCCCATACATATTATTCCCATGTACAGTTTAATAATAGTAATAATACTAATACATCAACACTTCTCTACCTACCGGTTATATTTAATTTACAAACGTTTTGGATGATAAACTGTACTGCTTTTTCCTAACCTCGAAGTATTTCAAATGGTCGGCCGGTACTATTACTAATACTATTTGTTTTCCCATCGGTCGCAAGTCATTATTGTAAACAAATTAGACACCCGAGTCCAAAAGTTTGACCGGTATACTTCTACAGTCTACGTGAACAGTTGAGCGTTCACTGGATGGCGTTCACTGGATGTCTAATTAATTAGATGCTTATATATTTTCGTTCACGCCGTTGTATAAATCATTGCTCCCCCGTCCCCGACCGCGTTTATTACAAAATATACTCGTTTCACTGCGCAATTCTCTTTTCTCGTGCGAGTGCATACCGATTTGACATCCATCTCGTTAACTCAATAATAGTAATAATAATATATTGGTATATGAATTTATATTGTGGCACCTAGACATTTCATGATAAGTAGGTATAATTGTATTTATTTTAGTGTGCGATCATTTTTTTGCGAAAAATAATAATCATAATTTAGCTTCAACAGATCGTCCATCTAATACGCTATTAGTGACAGTATTATGGATACGATATTGTTTAAAAAACATAATTTTCTCGGTAATTATATTTATAATTATTAGGTAGTGTGATTATTTTAATCTACGAGCGGTATAACGCAGCAGGCACTATTATAATGCATAAAAATGCATCTTCAATAGGTAGAAGAAAAAACGTTCAAACAGCCTACACTAAAAAAAAAAAAAAATGAAAATAGAAATAAGTACATTAGGTACGCCGATACGCCGATGCGAACGACAATGAAGAGGGGTGAAAAACATATTACTATTATATGCGTTTATCATTTAATATAATGTAGTGTTTCTCATTAAGAGGCAATGGCGTGTATTATATTGTCTATAGGTAGTGTGTTTGAGAACCGGTCAGGACACGACCCTATACATATGAATAAAAGAACACGCCTCTTAACACGGTAGCTCTTCAATCTACGGGATTAAATTCGACGTATGTGTGTGTTTGTGTATATATTTTTTTAGACGTTTAAGAATCGTTTAAAGTTTGTATATCAATGGAGTTTAAAGAACATTGACGGAAATCCGTTAGCTGAAAAACTTGGACCGATTTTTTAACGAGCAGAGAAGATACTGTCACTCGATAAGGTTTATTATTATTACTATTATGTATTACTATCGTGGAATATATATGTTTCCAAAAAAAAAAGCAACAACCTTTTACTGTTTTTGTATAGGAGCCTTACCTACACGTAAAAAACCGAACATAGTAATATATTTTAATTGTTATTGTCGTGCATACGAAATTATGCGTTTTGTATATTGTGTGTTATATATGTAAATATATTTCAAATACGAAATATGTAGGTACGTACAATAATATATAATGATAATGGGATTAACTGAATAAAATAATGCGTCGTATAGATATAACTAGTAATTACTATAAGGTGTGTTTTCGGGAACAAATTGACTGCTACGTGTTTTTAAGGTTATTAACATTAGAGGTAACCAAATCATAGAATATTTTAAAAGCTCTTAATTTAAACATGTTTACGAGTTATGATGATAATTTGAATAAAACACACTCGTTGATTTCACCGATGTATGACGAAATGTGTTTCGTGCTTTGGTATATATTTTTAATTTACAATACTATAATATAATATAGGCATTAACGAGCTAACGACGTCTTTCCCAATTAACATGAAACAACGATAATACATACAAGCCACGAGCCACGACACATAAACTCAATAATCGCTTTATCGCTTTTAAGTGTATAATATCATAATATAAATTATTCAATACAGAATTTTTTGCATATAATGTAAGTTATAAGTATATGATATTATTCAATATTTTTAATATAATTAAAATAGAAAATTTACAATCTGTAGCATAGTATGTACAATAAGCAAATAGGATAAATAATGGAGAATATTTACATGAAACCATATTTATGAGGAGGGATGCTGTCCAGTGACAGAACCCTCAAACGACATCATGGTTAGATATTTAGTAAATCCCAGCACCAGCGTCTTTTTAGCCACCAGATGCGATTATTTGGTGTGTGGGCTCTACCTTGAATGGCTATAAAGGGGTTGGTATGGGTGGCTTGGCTATTTTAGAGTTAAATTGTTTATAATGGTTGGATGCAACTGCGGTAATAGAGTTTCAATTTTGAGGTGATTGTAGAAAGAGTTGCTAGTTACATACCAGGGTGCAGACGCTAGTAAACGCGCGGAGAGCAATTGATTGGAACGCTTGAATTGTTTTTGTTTGGGATGGTTTGGTACAGCCCCATAACTGTATTCCGTAAGCACCAATTGGCTTTAGCATTGATTTATAAATAGTTATTTTATTGTTGAGGGAAACGTTGGATTTGAGAATAGGATGGAGGAGTTGTAGTATACCGTTAAGTTTTTTCTTGTTTCCTTTAAGTAAGGGTCTCAGGTGAGTATTTGTCCAGGATCAGGCTGAGATATTATATATTAAATAAGTAAATACCTATTATAGTTCACACTTTATAAAGTAAAATAATTTCTAGATTAGGTTTGGTTGAGTTATTCGTTATATATAATATTAGGTAAGAAATTGCAGTCAGGTTTCAGAGGGACATACTACATACGGTATCTATAGTAGTATCTTTATGTTTAACAGTGTACAGAGGTATCGATGAATTTTTTGGATTTTATATTATTTATTTTTATGAATATTTTGTTGCCCCTCCTCTATTAATGATAACTGATAACTGATAATTTAAAACTGCACCGGAAATGACGGAAACTTTAATAAGCAAGAGTTTGCACATGCATTTTTAGTTGAAATAAGGCAGAGTCAACGGAAATCCATGTTAGGGAAAATAGAAGTCCATATTGTGCTTACCAAGTGCTTATCAAGATGAGATTTGTATAGTATAGAATACATATCTCCACGATATGTCTCTTTGCTAGTTGCCGATGTCGGGTGTGGTTCATCACGTTTACTGATCATGTCACAATATTATAATGTAATGACCACATCTGTGTCATCATAAACTGCAGGGTGCAATTTCAGTAGTATCATTGATTATAGAATAAAGAGAAAATTATTTACGATGTAATGTGTACATTCTAGAGACTATAACGTTCGACGGGCGTTTAAATCCTTCAGCTTAGACTTTATTTTTACTGGATTTTCAAGACTTAATTTTTTTTATTATTATAAGTTAATACTACATAGTATGCAATCCCTGTGTTGGTCGACGACTACTTGCTCAATATATAATATGTATGTATAATATATTTTATACTATCCGTTTTCCATTTTCATTCATAATTGACTTTAGACGGAAATAATTATTAAACTTGCTATTTTGTGTAGATGAAATAGTAAATGTATGATATAAAGACCTACAGATGAAAGAACGCATATAGGGGCGAAACATTGTGGTATTTGGGGAGAGGGTGATGGGTGAGTAGGACGATGGCCAATACCGTCTGTGTAGTGGTGTGCTGCAGCTGTCTTCGATTCTCACCGTTTTCCAGCTCTGTTCTACTGCGTATATAAAACGTGTACCTGCAGCAGCACTGCGCACACGTCATATCACACACGGAGCACTTTTCACTTCCGGTTTTTACGACTTTACGCGGAACCGATTGCACCGCTGGTGTTCCCGTATCATATAATAATATTTCCCTCCGCCGTCTGCGAAACATATATTTACGCATTCGATTTGTACCACGCACGACTCAATTATCGGGTATATTATATTATACACTGTTCCTCACATGTATAATATGTATCGGCGACGGCGGTGGACAATTAAAACTCGCCCCCGCTGCACAGTACAACGTATTACGCAATTTAATATACATGTATGCACATCGCGGGGTCACGACTTTAAACCACAATATATTATTTCGGACACGTAAATGGGAAACGATCGATTGGGGGAGAAGGGGGGGGCGAGATAGGGGGTGCGGGTAGTGGCGGAGAGACGCGGGCGCGGAAAGAGGTCGCCGCGCGCTCGATCCCCGCGGTGCCGACGAAAAGCGCGTACGCTGTATATTATAATAACACTGTTCGTACAACACTTATATTATTATAGACACACGTGTGTGGCGTGTTGACACGCGATACGAATTAACAACAATGATACGATATTATACGCACACAGACGAAAATAATATGCAATATGCGAGCATAATATTATAATATACACACGGACACAAGGTACAATATACTCCCGTTCGCCGAGTGCTGACGAATCTTGAATGTTATTATTATATTGCTATCACCGCGCAGCGTCCAACCGGTGTCAGACCGCGTGCTGCGCGCAGTGCGGATTTCGTCTGGAGTTTCGCCACGTACGGCTCAGAATTTATGATCATATTATTATTGTTATTATTACTATAGAGCAGAATGATTTTAGTTTTTTTTTTTTGTATCCATCCAAAACTCTTCTGGACACGTCGTTCGATCTTCGATCGTATCCCCGTGTAAGTATATTATAATATTATA